CTCTCGACCCGCTCACGCCACGCGGCCACCGCACCCCACGCGGGAGATCCAGGCCGGCGTTCCCACGTCTCGGGTGGGAGACTGAGGCCCCGCAGAAGGGCCACGCGCAGGGCTAGCAGAGCCGGACTTCTGTGAGGCCCTGATCGGCCGTCCTTGCTCTCTGGTCTCCACCTAAGGAGGGTTGTGCAACCCAGACCCCTGCCTTGCCCCTTGGGCCTGGCAGACAGCGGTGCTGAGCGGCGGGAGTGGGCTTTGGAACAGAGCAGAGCCCCGCCCCCATTTAGATGCCACCTCCTCCGGGAAGTCTACTTTCCCCTCCTAGCAGGCGTTCCACTCTGGCCCAGCACCTGCGAACACGTGTGTCCTCTCCTGGCCACAGTGGAGACTTGTGGACCTTTCGCTCTCCTCGGGACTCAAGCTTCCAGAGGGCCCAACCACGTGTTAGTTCCCCAGGATCCTCACAGCCCTAGCGCAGAGACGAAACTCACTAAACGTCCACATACCTACGGATCCCACCCCAAATTCCACCAGGTGAAAAGCGTAAAACCACCCAAGCTGATGATCCAAAGACGGGCGCCATTAACTCCAATGTGCAAGTGACTCAGCTCAGGCACAGACGTTCCAAGGAGTCACCCGCCAATGCCATGACTAAGGCAAGGCAAGGACCTGGGTGTCCGAGTTCTCTGCATCCCCGGGAGGAGAAAGGGCCCCTCCCTCTCAGGCCGCGCCTGACCCGGGCCTGCCTTCAGCTTTTGCTGTTTATATTCCTAGACCGGGGCGGCCAGGTGGCTCTCAGAGCTGAAGGCTCGCATCGCCTTCCCCAGAAGACATGCAAACATCCTTAATAAACGAGGAGTCTTTGCGGATAAATAAGAATAATGACTCAGGAGAGAAATAAGACAAACTCCATAGTTGAAGATCAACCGACCCAACAAGCAGGCACTGGAGGGACCTGGTGAGCGGGCAGGGGCCCCACCATTGTGGGGTGACCTGCTGAGGGGACAGGCAGAGACCAACAACCAGATGGCGGGTGTTTGAGCAGAGTAAAATCGGAGCTGATGGAGGTGGCACAGCGACCAGGACAGGTCTCTCGGGGAGGTGCACGTGCCTGAATGCCAGCAAGGGGCAGGCCGTGGTCAGCTGGCTCCTCGTGTGAGGCCGTCCTGGGCACGGCAACACGGTCAGCCTTGATTTAGCAGACGCCAGTAGTCTGCACCCATGCTGAGGCCGCGCCCTTCGGAGGACGCGTCCCTCCTGCTGACGGGCTCTCTGGCCCTCTTCTGACTCCTCCCCATAAGCAAACACCAGGAGCACCGCCCGTTTCTCTGCTGTCTTCACGGCAGACTCCCCGGAGGGGTTAGTATGATCTCTGTCCTCAAAATGTCACCTCCCGTCGTCCCTTCCACCTGCTGGATTAGGCTTCCATCCCAGCACCACACTGAGGCTGTGACCTCCGTGCCCCCAAACCCAGCAGTTCCTGCTCTGTCCTCATCCCAGGCCTGCTCAGCAGTTTGGCGGCCCCTCTGCCCCTTAGGCGCCTTCCTGTCCTTGACACCAGCAGCCCCCGTCTGCGCCCTGCACTTTCCCGTCCATACCAAAGCAAAGGTCCAGATGGCAACACTGGGAGGATCGGAGGAGATGCGGGGCCTTGGCAGTAGTAAAAGGGCTGCCTGGTGAAGTGAGAGCCGATTTTTAATCTGCCTCAGAGGCAGCCTCACACTGCTCTGTGTCCGTGCAAACGGGGGACCAGGCTGTCCTGTCACCTGGCGGGAGGGTGAGTCGGGTGAATTCTCCGAAGGCAGCTTCTCACTCGCTCCCGACTGCCAGCGATCCTTCTGCCAGATGCTTTCTGTCCACGTAGCTTCAGATGTACAGAAGAATCGCAGGAACAGTGCAAGGATTTCCAGTCACCTTCATGCATCTCACCCCGATCCCCCACAGAGGGACACCTTGCCGCACCCTCCTCTTCCCTCCCCCCCTTTTTTTTCCTTTTCTCCTCTCTCCTTCCTGCTTTCCCTCCTTCTCCCTCTGCGTACCCCCCGCTTCTCCTCTTCCTCCCTCTCTATTTTATGTACTTACAGTCTGCATTTTCTGCATACATGGAATACATTTTCGTACATCCAGACCGCTGCCTAGTCGGTTGCAGTCAGGGCATCACCTACTGTGAGTACGGAGTGTGCATATCCGGAAATTCATGGGAGTCTCTGGCACGGCCGCAGTGCAAATATCAACACGAACCACAACACAATACTATCGTCTGACCCACATACTTTTGGGGGATTCTACCGACTGCCAACATAGCATCCGTTCTAGCAAAAGCAGAACCCCAGACGCTGTGTGGTTATCGAGGCTTGGCTTTAGTTTCCTGCAATCTGGAACGACTCCTGCGGCTCGTACTGTGTGACCCAAGCAGTTTTCACAGAGCCGCACCAACCTGGAGTTTGGGACCCACTGTCATCTCTCTCCCCTCCGCCTACGGCTTCTCGAGCTGCTCTCTGCCCTCCCTGGCCACGTCACTTCCAGTGTCACCTCTTCCAAAGAGCCGTCACCGGCCGCCCTGCGTAGAGTAGGCCCCTTTTCTCCTCTGACTGTGCTGCTTTCCTCCGCAGCCCTCGCCATAACCTGTGATTTGTAGTTTGTTTACATATCCGGGTGTCCGTCCCTAAGGTCGTCTGGGCGTGAGCCGTTTCCTGGCCCGATTTCATCTTTACTTCTTCCCAGAGCCTAACACGGTGCCTGGCATAGAGTAGGTACTCGGGAATATTTACGGAATGAATCAGCAATGAGAGGAAAGAAAAGCAAGCTGTAAAATAAGATGATAGTATTACTACGGTCCCACTTTGCCGGGGGAGGAAAATCCAGGCATCCGACGCCGCACGTATTAGGGCTGTCAAATGCCTGAAAGTGGGAGAAAGTTTGGGCAGAAGGGCAAACGTTGAGCTTCCACTCTTTAATTTTACACAATTCTTTACTGTTGGATTTTTTTCCCACAAGGAACATATATTATCTTGTAACAATCATTGCAATGTGTGTTAAAATTAAACAATGCATTCCCTGTGGTGAGGCTTCCCCGGCCAGCTCTCCTTCCCCTCCTCCCTCAGTGCCTCTCTCGTTCCAGAGGATGCTAGGAACTGTCTGTGCCCTCCCGGGAGGACTTGTGCAACCTCAAGGCCGGGGCCTCCCAGGTATCCCCCGTGGCCTCTCTCCAACCCCCAGTGGCTAAGTGAGCAGGACCCTGGACCCAGGACACGTGCTAGACCAACTCTTTGAAACATATCCCGCACCTGGAAAACTCCTACCTTCCCTTCAGGACCCGGTTCACGTGCCTCAGGGAAGCCCGCCCAGCTCCCTTCAGTGCCCCCTCCTCAGTACGCGCCCTCTGCTCTGACCCTGATCACCACCACCAAAAGAGGTCAGAGAAGGCGCACCATGACTGTCTACACCTGCACCAAAGAGCTTAAGCAGCCCCTTTCCACCTCCGGTCCACAAGGAGCTTCTGTCTGGGAAGCCTCTCCCTTCCTGTCCACTCCCCAGGACCTACTGGCTTCGGAGGCAGATTTGAGCTCTCTCCCCTCCTCGCCACGACTACCCGGGTGCCATGGTACCGTCCCCGTGCTCGGGGGCGTGAGAGTAGGTGCGCCCGGCTGGCAGACGGGGGAAGCCCGGCCTTCACGGGATCCCCCCGATGCAGCACGTCAGGGTCCAGCCCAGCAGACAGAAGACGCTCAGCAAGTGTCTGGAAAGCACAAGCGTGTCTGGAACCGAGGAACCAGCCACAGCCCCAGAGAGGTGGGGACAGAGGGGCGCAGTGGAAGGTGCCCGAGAGAGCTGCCTTGAACTTCTCCACGGCTCAGGGACAAGAGGAAGCCGCGGTGGAAAAGCCTGCTCCCACGTGCCCTGGCTCCACTGAGAACTGCCCAGTCCCGGCCTTCCTCCCTGGCCATCCTTCGGGGCTGTGTCCGTCCCGGTACAAGGAGCAGCTCTGTCCTGCTGTCTGCGGAAGCAGCAGAGGCCCCGAAGTCAGTATCACCGGCTGAGGGGAGACAGCACACGCCTCCCGGTCCCACCTGGCTCTTTCCCCCAGCCTCCCGGCCACCCTACTGATTTTACTCAGGAGATCCCACTTTCCTTATGTGTGTTTTAATAGGAATCTATTTAAGACAAGTGACAACAGTCTTCCAATTATGGCAGTGACCTAAACGTCCCTTCTTAACCTAAGTCTAAAAAGTGATACCAAGGAACAGTGGGGCACACCTGTAATCCCAGCTCTCGGGAGACTGAGGCAGGAGAACTCCTGTAAGTTCAAGGCCAGCCTGAGCTATAGAGCAAGATCCTGTCTCAAAAATTAAAAACTGCAAAATAAAAACGAGGCCAGTTATTTAGCTCAGTGGTGCCGCTCTGGCCTGGCAAGTGCAAGGTCCCAAGTGTGATCCGATACAAAAAAAAACCGTTGGCCAGCCCTGCTTCTGCTCCATCGTGACTTCACAAGTGCTCGGCCTTTCATCTGCAAGCCCTGCAAATGTACTTGACTTAATTCTGCCAGTTCAAGCCCTGCTCCGGGCCCGAACACCCTGTCCTTTCTTGCCCGAGCAATCAGTCATTCCGCAAGTATTTCCTGGTAGCTCTGTGTACCCAGCCTGGGGAGCTGACTGGGGTGAGGGTGGGGGCTCAGGATTGTGCACCCGGACCTACCCCTGCCCTCCCCACCCACACCATCCTGCCATCAATCATAGAACCTTCCAGTTACGGAATCTGAGACCAAAGGCTCCTCAGCATGCGTGGGTTATGGAGCCTGAGAGTGTGGACACTCAGCTCTCTAGGAGAAGCAATGCAGCAGGACCGCAGACCTTTACATTAGGGTGAGGGCATCTTACGGCGCCGAATGGTTGAAGATAAAAACATCCAGACATTACAGTGGTAGAACTGCTTCACCCAGGCCCATTAGCGTCTCAGACCCTAAGACAATGGGAAGAGAGGGTTCTGGGGAGGGCACCGGTGGCTTCCCCCCCCGGCCGAGGGTCCGCACCCACCTCCCACTCCCCTTTATCGGCGGAGTCCTGTTGGAGGGTCCCAGATGCCTCAAGCTTCCTGGGGCCTGAGACCTGGCTCTGGGTCCCCAAGGGATGCCCGAGGTGCCCACAGCCTGGCCTGGCCTCTCCTTCCTGCGCTCAGGGTCGCCCTCAGAGCCCCCACGCCCCACCCCTGTTCGGTCTCCCCGGCCCCTCCCCGTCCTCGCTCCCTCCCTGACTGTTGACTTGGCCGACACTGTCACCTTCCCAGGGTGCCCTTCCGGTCCTCTGTGCAGTGCCCATACCCCGCCTCTCCACAGCTCCATCTCAAGCCCACAAATCTCCACTCAGTCCCACGGCCTGACAAGCGGAGCGAACAAAAGTCCCCCTCTAGGTGTCACCATGGGAGCGAATAACACGGAGCACCCTGGAGGCACAGAAGGGGGTTCAGCCGAAACTGGCTGCGAACTTGGGGGCCTCTGGCTCTGGCTGCACCGGGCACTTGACCTCCATGGGCAAATGCAGATCCGGGCAAAGCAGTTACCAAACCCGTGCCCAGGAGGAAGGGAGGGGAGGCACAGCCGGCAGGCAGGGGCCGTGCAGGGTGACTCCCAGAAAGAGGAAGCTGTTCTGCCACTCAGACTGGGGTGGAGGATGAGGGTCAGGGGTAGGTGAGGTCCGCCTGATTCCCCGCCCCCAGCACCGAGTGACGCAGAGGGGAGGAGCCGGTGAAGGAATGGCGCTGTCAATCATCTCCCTGCCGGGGTGCAGATCTTTGCCTGGAGCGAAAGCAAGCAAGGAAAAGCATTTATGGGGCACGGCCTGTTTGCCTGGTGCGGAGTTTGGCACAGCCTGGCTTAGTCCACCTCCTGGCCTGGCATCAAGGCTGAGAGTGTCCGTGCCCTTCAGGCAGTGACTTCGCCTCTCTGAGCCTCAGAGATGAGGATGCTCCCGTCTGGCGGGTGTGGGGGCATCTCCTCCACAAGAGGCTCTTTATGACCTTCAGGGAAGGTGGGAGAGTACTTCTGGTACCCGCCACCCTCAGATCCCTTCAGTTTAAAATAGTCAGTGTTTCTGGGTAGCCTCGTGTTCCCTCTGTTTGTTTGGTTGGTTGGTTTGGTTTGGGTTTGGTTTTTTTTAGTAGGGTCTCACTAGGTAGCCCAGACCAGCCTCAAACTCACAAGGATCCTCCTGCCGCAGCCTCCCGAGTGCTGGGATTGCAGGCGTGCACCACCACACCCTGCTAGCCTTGTGTTCTGAACCCCATCAGTAGTAACATTAGGCTGAACCAAATAAAGACATCAGCGTTTCACTTTGGACCTGTGAAACTGGCAGTTTCCTAAGTTTCAATCTAAAAATCTATCCTGACAGGTCTGAAATGAATGACTCTGTCTGGCAGAGTAGGTGCCCCATAAACAATGGCTGCATTATTTATAGTCCTTCTTCCGTGTCACAGATTTTAAAACGGAAAACTGAGGCTCAAACTTGCCCAATGCCAGCACCAGGCAGAGAGGACAGGGTGGAGCCACCGTCAGGACTCCCACTTCCTGTGCCCCCTCGCCACCCCCAGCCGCTCCCTTACCACACCCCTTTCCCTGTCACACACAGCAGCCAGCAGGGGCGCCTGGGACAGCACGGCAGAGGGTCAGGGTCCGGAGAGGGCTGGAGGAGGAGGAGTCCTGACCGGAACCAGCCGGGAGCCTTCCCCACAGACTCAGCCTCCGGTCGGGTGTGTGCAGGGACACGCGCAGCTGTGGGGGGCTGCGGGGGGTAGGCCACGACCACTCGTGCGCCTGCGCCTTCCCTGCGCCCCGGTGTGGGTCTGTGGGTAGCTGGGGGTATGGTCTGGGAGACACCCGGAAGAATTTCGGTACATACCTGCGGCACAGGGTCTGCAGCCCAAGGGCTGCGACTGATCTCGGGCTGTGAGCGCTGCTTTGGACATCGAAATGAAAGCAGAGAAGCCGGGCGTGGTGGTGCACACCTGTAATCCAAGCACTGGGAAGGCTGAGGCAGGAGGATCGCTGTGCCTGGGCTACATAGTGAGTTCAAGGTCAGTCTCACTGCATAGTGAGACCCTGTCTAAAAAAAAAAAACAGAGGAGAAAGCAGGAACCTACAGGCAAAAGCTTTCACTGAGACGGAAAGGAAAAACGAGGAAAGGATGTCGGCTTGAAGGGGGCACAGCTCTGGTGCTGAAGATCGGTGTGGCCCAGTGACAGAGGACTGGAGCCAGCTGCGGGAGGGCCCTCGGGTGGGCTAGGCCCTGTTCAGTTTCCACGGGGTAAGCCTCTTCCTCCTGTCCTGAGGCGTCTTCCTGTGTGAGACACGGATCAGCTGCTACACCCCTCCTCCGGCACCCACCTGCCGCGGCGGAGCTCTGGTCAAAGAGCAGGCGCTTAGGGGAGGGGCCGCTCCACACGCTGTTAGCAAAGGAAGAGGGAAAACGCATCTTCCCCTTTACTAGAGAGCTAAGGCTTGAGATTCCTGTGTCTCGTCCTCATGAGGGTCCAGAAGATGCTACCCCAAAATATGCCTGTTTGGCACATGGATTATTTTGACCTAAAAGCCACTGAGAACCAGCAGGAAAGCCCTTTAAAAAAAAAAAGAAAAAGCAGGAAAAATTCCTTACCACCCTCTAACTGCCTGAAAATAGAGTATAAACATCCTGTAAGGGGTTACACACCCTGCTGGAGAACGCGGGTGACTCCACGCAGCACAGGCCCCTCAGGGACTCCCGGGCCCTCTTCAGAGCCCACAAGTGCCTGTGGGGACAGGAAGTCACCCTCCGGACCCCAGGACAGCACACACCCCGACACACACACGGACATCACCTGTGTTCTCTCTGCGACCTCAGGGTCACACCCACAGCGAGCACTGGGAAAGGAACCCGTGGGACTCCACGGGGCTTGGGGACTCACTCTGCTTTGCTCCAGCAGCCAGCTCCTGACCGCAGGATGGTGCGGCAGATGGGACATCAGGGCTCCAAGCTCCTCAGTCTTCTGGCCCAGGGCCCCCCAGTGGCCCGGCCAGGTATCACAAGACCCTGAAATCTGTCCAACTTGTACCTGGGTGGGGGAAAAACTCAGCCAGAGCCCAAGGGGCATCAAGAAAACTGAGGGGAGACTCATTCTGATTCCTTCAGAGATCACCAAGGACACTCCAAAGGAGGGGACCCAGGCAGGAGCTCAGCGTGTGGGTCTAGGAAACAAACTGGCCATAGGCAGATTCCCAACAGGAACACACCACACGTCTGTCACCTGACCTGTGCACTCACTGAGCAGCCCAAAAAGTGAGCACTGACATTCACAGCGTCCTGAGCCACTGAACAGAAGGGGGGCATCTAGGGAAGGTGGAGACACATTCCGGGAGGTGAGGGAAGAAAGGTTGTCTCGTTTTGCAGATTAAGTTGCTCAGTCCAAGAAAGAAGAGGCAGTGGGCTGGGCCAGTCTCTGAGTGAGGGGTGAGGCCAGGGCCACCTCAGTCACCTGTCCTGTCGGGTTCCCCTGTGACAGGGAAGAGGGTCACATGATTGCCTTCCACTGGAGGGACAGCTGCAGTCAGCGAAGGGCAAGAAATAAAAAATAAATTAAAAAGAGAAAAAGAAAGCCAAATGTGGCAGCCCACACTTGAAATCCCAGGACTCGGGAGGCTGAGGCAGGAGGATCGCCAAGAATTTGAGGCCAGCCTGGGCTACACAGTGGGTTCGAGGCCAGCCTGTACCACACTGGGAGACCCTGTCTCAAAAACAAAAACAAAGAAAGAGATAAGGGCAGCACAAGGGAAGCTCCCCCCACCCCACCCCCATGCTTTCAGAGGAAGAGGGGCAAGAGACAAGGGAGGGAGACAGTCAGGGAGACCTTGGACCTGAGACGGCGCCTTCAGTTTCAAGTACTCAGCCTGCCAAAGTGTTACACTCTAGGGGTTCGCCTTCTGAGCCCCAGCACTCTCCGAGGGCAGCTAGCTCCTCAGTCATACCCCTGATGATAGAAATCTCTTTTCTCGTCGTTTTTTTCTTTGTTTCAGTAAGTACTGGGTACTGAACAGGGCCGTCACAGTGAGACACATCCCCAGCCCCTTTTTATTTCTTATGTTGATACAGGGTCTTGCTAAGTCACCAAGTTGCCCAGGCTGGGCTTGAACTTGTGACCCTCCTGCCTCCTGCTGGGACTGCAGCCACGCACCACCACACCCAGCTAAGAACTCTTCTTGAGAAGAGCAGAAAGCTGCCTCTCCGCGGCCCTCACTCCCCAGTGGTCCCTGGGACAGGTACCTCCCTTAGGTTCTGAGTTCATTCATTCATTCTTTCACGGATCCATTCAGCTACTCGTAAAGCAGCTGCCGTGCACAGGCAGACTGAATGTTCCCTGGGGAGGATTCCGAGGGGCAGCAGGTAAGTAAGGCTGCCAGGTAAGCCACAGGATGCCCAGTCAAAAGTGAATTTTAGGTGAGCACTGAATCATTTTTGTGTCCTGTGTGATATTTGGGACCTAGGGAAAGTAGTCATTGTTTATCTGAAACTCACATGCAACTGGGTGCCTCGTGTTTCTATTTGCCTAAGTAAGTTATTTTCATCCGGTAATGACTACAGGAAAATGAACCAGGCAGAAGAGTTATGCTTTAGCCAGGGTGGTCAAGGGAGCCAGGACCTCCTAGAAAGGTGGACCCAACCCCAGACTCTGCCTCCCCATGTCTGGTTTTTCTACACAGTATCCCGGCTTCTTAGGCTGTGACTCTTGGTCACTACCGAAACCTTATATTAGGCTGCGACTCTGGCTCTAATGAAAGTTTAGAGCTGTCCCAGGAGCCAGACAAGCACCACGGAGATTCACTTGGGTGCTATTCAAATGTCTGTAACAGGGCAGCCCCAACAGATATGGGCAGAATTCAGAACAGAGCCAAGCAGGGATTCCATAGTTGGATTCAAAAAGGTGAGAAAGCCACCAGGGAGGTCATTTCCTAGCCCCAGATCTGACTGGGGAAACAGGGACTAGACACGCTGGACCCAGAGGACATAGGCTACGTGACCATTCCCTCTTAGGTTACAAGAAATCCTGCTGTGGTTCCTTTGAGATCTGGGTCAAAACTTATGTCCAGGCCTGGGGATTTAGCTCAGTGGTTCCACCACCTGCCTCGCAATCGCAAGGTCCCGAGTTCGATCCTCGGTACCAAAACAAAACGAAAAAAATCAAACAAATGAAAGGAGTCAGAGAAATAATAAGCGCAAGCTTGGAATTTTAACTACTTGCAATATTGACAATGACATATAGGAACAACAGGACACTCTCAAGTTTTTATTTGCAAGTGCACAGATGACTCATTGATTTAGACCTGTGATTTTTAAACGGAAATTGTGAACCTAAACAGAAAGTCAGAGACAGGCTCTCGGAAACAAATAAGTGTTCCTAGGAACAACGGGGGACCACAGTCTGGAATATACGTGCTGTGACCTCAGAGGCTTATCCAAAGGCATCGGAACAAAAGACTTTCGGAAACAAAGAGAAGCCACACAGGCTGTGTAACAAGAACCCCCAGCCGCAGGGCCCAGCTGAAGGGCCCGTGGGGCTCAGATCATCGGTGAGGACAGCCGTTACCAACTGGCCTCTGGTGCAGGCTGCGTGCTGAAGTCCCTTGGGCCTGGGGCAGCTCTTTGCCGTGGCTCCTGCTACAGGCAGGTGTGCGGGCCCTGCAGGACTTTCCTGCGTTACAGTCACTTCTTACTGGCATCATCGTGCACGAAGGGTCCTGTGTCATAGCCTCCTGTTTCCATCTGTTATGGTTTGATGTGAAGTGATTCCATTTTGGTACCAGTGACTTTCACAAAGTCTTACTAAGTTTGTCAACAGTAGTAAGCTGTGAGAACTTAAATCCACCCCATTTATAATATACATTCTTGGAGTTCTAAGAAATATCTAAGAGCCTTAAAAAGTCTTATTAGGGCAACAGAAATAGTTTTAAAAAGAAACCGCGTGTATTTACAAGTGTTTAAATGTACACATGTTTAAACATGTTTAATTAACCCAGATTGTATACCTAGGGGGTCAAATATTCAGTTTTCGAATTTTAATTTTAAAAATCATTTTAAAAGTTGTTACATTAGGGCCCTGGATTTAGCTCAGCGGTGCCACCACCTGCCTTGCAAGTGCAAGGTACTGAGTTCGAACCTCAGCACCAAAAAAATAAAAAAGTTGTTACACACACACTTGTGGTCCCAGCTACTTGGGAGGCTGAAGAGGAAGCCTGAGACCAGCTTGGGCAAATATTGTGAGATCCAATCTCAAAAAAAAAAGGAAAAAATTCTAAACATTTTATAAATGTTTTTCATTTCACTTTTTGTTTTTCCACACCCACTAAACACCAGCACCACCCCCCTCACCCCCAGCAGCAGCCACGATTCTGCTTTCCGTCTCCAGGAGCCTGACTGCTCCAAGTGCCTCCTACAAACCGACTCATCCAGCATGGGTTCACACCAGAGGACTTTTCACCTGAACCCAAAGCTTGCCGGCAATTGTTGGCTGCATAGCGGCGGTGAACAGAATATTCATTTCGAAAGCCAAAGGGAACCAGCGACCTATTCTCAGCACAGAAGCCTCAGGGCACCAAGACTGCCCGCTGGCATGACGGCATGACAGCTGCAGAAATTAAATCGCATCACCCACTCCCACCTTCCTAGCGCCCTCAGCTCCCAGCTGGGGTCCAAATGGGCCAGACGGCACCTTCCCCAGGGAGACCAGGCGGCTCAGCCGCCACCTCTAGCACCTGCTACGAACCGGGGGCTTCGTGCTCCTCCTCATTTCGTTCCTCTCACAGTCAGTGGGGAAGACACTTTCACCAGCACATTCGACAGATGGGGAAACTGAGGCACGGACCAGGTCAGGCAGCACTGGGATCCAAATCCAGCCCCGACACCCAGCCGCATTTTGCTGGATTTCAAGACTTCTGCTCCCCTCTCCCCACCTCCACTTAGCTTGCTCTCTAAATCCTTTTCTTCCTTCTCTGAACCCTAGGAGGCTGTGCTGGGATCCTGGTCAGCAACGCCCCTGCTGGAAACTGGGCACAGGGCGCTCCCTCGGGCGCAGCTGGCCCCGTGCCCAGGAAGGTCCTACTTCGGGTCCTACTGCTGACCTCACACGAGTGGAGTCTCTGGATCGTGACCCCAACCACCAGGAGAAGAGGGCCCCAAAAGCTAAAGGAAAGGGCCAGACTCTCAAGACAGGGCAGGCTCGGACCATCTCTGGCAAGAAAACCGACCGCCTCCTGATTCTAAAATGGGGACCCGGCGCCACCTGGTGGCAACACCTCTTCCAGCCTATTCTTTAACTTTTTTTTTTTTAGCCGTTTTTTCTTTTGTTTTTTTTTGTTGTTGTTGTTGTTGTTGTTTTGTTTGTTTATTTGTTTTGAGATAGGGTCTCACTATGTACTTGAGACTCACCTGGAATTCACTGTGTAGCCCAGGCTGGTCTTGAACTTACAGTGATCCTCCTGCCTCAGCCTCCCGAGTGCTGGGATTACAGGTGTGCGCCACTACGCCCCGCTGTTTGGTACATTTTAGATTTGCATAACGATAACATTCATCATATGGAGTTTGCACCTGTACATGATATATCTTGCTGATTCCTGTTTTTCCATTCCCCTCTCCTCTTCAACCCCTCTTCCCCTCTTTATTTACAAAAGCTTTGTTTCCACTTTCCCTTCTGTTATCTTTTATCTTGTTCCTCCCTTCCTTTCCCGCTCCCCCACCTTGTACCCCCTTCCATTTTAATATTTTTCCCATTTCCCAATATCTAAGTAGAAATTTTGGTTCTTATTTACTCTTTCAGTTTCTCACGCCAGAGAAGCGATGAGGTATTTGCACAGGTGTGTCAAATTTATTTCTCAAGGTGCATCTCTTTAGCTAGAAATGTCTCAAGCTTATCCCTCTTGACGGCAGAGTAGTACTCCGCTGTATTTTTAAAAAACATATCTTCTTTATCTGTTCATCAGTTGATGGGCATTTGGGCTGTTTCCACGATTTAGCTGTTACAAACTGTGCTGTCACATGCATGGATGTGCGCATATCGCTGTGATAGGAGGCTTTTAATTCATTTAGGAAGATGCCAAGAAGGGGAATAGCAACAGACACATTTTTCCCCTGGTACAGCACGGTATCTTCTTGCCCTGAATCCCCCTAGGAACAAGGGATTCCACTGTCTTC